GCACAGAAACAGTACTATATAACATTTTAGACACATTCTAGACAGTTTATCAGCTAAAAAAAGTTAATTTTGGGGTAAGTTACTCTTTAAAGACAGAATAGTGTTTGGCGTGACGTGAGAATCGACAAAATTTATCTTTTTTTTTTAAATGACTCATTTTCCAAAGGCTGGTGCCAAGAGACTTTTTTTTGTCAGTACCTGTTGTATCAAACTTCACACGTGTGTGTTAAAGAGGGGCTGGTGTGTAGAGGGTGCTAGAGAGCCATTTTGCCACGCCCACATCTGGATCTTTGCTCCTCGCCAGTTTTACCCTGGTTCTATGTAATGACCAAGTTTCACAAATCTGAGCCCACTGTAGATGACTAATGATGAAATAGATTAAAAAATATTAATATTAAAACAGCACTTGGGCTCTAAACACTGTCTTACAGTGCAGGGATTGTACCAGGAACAGAGGGTTGACTGGTACAAAGGCAGGTACGATGTGGGCAACAACATAGAGATAAACTGACCTAGAAAACAGTTTTATAGATTTTCAACAATAGACCAGACAAAACACAGAGACACASTCTGTGCTTAGAAGTGAGACAGGAAGAGCCTGCTTATTGGTTTTTAACATTTTATTATTAAGAAAAACCCATCAGAACATCCGACGTTTGAGACAGGCAGCAGAGTGATCCTAACCTCAGATTAAGTGTGTATTTATTTAGTATCATTCAGAGGCCAACATGTGAACACATGCAGTGTGGCCTGTCAGTAAATCTGAAGTTTTCTTTAATTCAGCCGTGAAGCTCTGACGGTCTCAGCCTGGTGAGATCCTGGTTTAAAGGATGAAAAACAAACCGGTTCAGTTTCTGTTCTCAGAGCAGAAAGACAACAGAGAGACATGAAAGTTTGTAATATCACAACTAAAGTTTTTCATGGTGTTTATGGATGTTTCTGTTAGTGAAGGTACAAAACTGACATCAGGAGTCTGAGAACAAAACGAGCCACACAGCAAAGTTGACCTGCTCCAGCAAGTGTTAACCACCAAACTGAAGCTGAGAAATTATCTGTTTCATGTTTCATATCTGGGATTTCAGCTGGACTTTTGTTTCCTGAATGTTTATTTTCTGTTTAGTTTTTCCTTTTAATGACCTGAATCTCCACGTGTTTCTGAACAGTGATAATCATTGTTCAGTAGTTACAAAAACACGTACCGGGGTCAACGGGAAAAGGACACTATCTTTTAATTTAATTGTTTTCACCCACATTCAAGTGTTTTTCACATATTACCAGGATAAAATAACAAAACAATTCTGTAATAACTGATTTAGACCATTTTAAAAACCTCTCTGTAAATAAAGAGAAATCCTGACATTTTTAAACTGACTATAACTTATTTAAAAAAATCAGACTTACTCCGTTACACCAACTTCTTTCAGAAACCTAAAAATGACATTAAAAATATAAAAACTAAACTTGTGTAAGAAAAAATATTTTGTAAAATCACTCAAGATTTTAATGTGTGAACA